ACTAAATGGCCTGCCTTTTAGTCCTGTGGACCATTGCTCGCATCGGTGCTAGACTACCTCGTTCGTCTGGCTGTGTCACGCCCCGAGGTAGAGACACCGGCCTGCGGGGCCCAGGACTAAAGCAGGCATTTAAGTCTCTGTACCCCTCAGGACCTGGCTGTTCGTTCGAACCGGCCGATTGGCAGCCGCCTCCGAGAAGTTGCCACTTTTGCCCGGTGTTACGGGCGTACTCGGCCCCAACCAAGCTATCGGAGACCGTACAACGTCGGGCTCCGGTCCTGCTCGTCTGGACGCCACGACGCGACACAGGCTTTAGAAGTTGGGCGTCTCGGCTCGGAGACTAAGGGACCAGGAGACCACACTCCCTCTCTGCACAGGTAGAACAAGCGGTAATACGCTGCACCCTTCCTGCGCGAGCATCGCCACGCAAGCGACCTCTTTTCTCTTAGTGTTGACAGCAATTAGCTCTTTTTTCGGCTGCCACTCAAAATAAGAGTTCTTATAATTGACTCACCATATTAGGGAAAAATAGAAGATGAGGAGACCACCACTCTCTCTTTTTTTCTTTTTGCAGGAGCGATGCACATTTCTATGTTCTATCACTCCCTTCGGTGTTGCGGTGTGTGCACACCAACGACCGAACTTTTTAGTTTTGGAATGGAAAAAAAGGCTTCTTTTTGCCGCTCCAGCTAAAACGTTATGATTGACCACCAATCATAATTGTCAGAAGGAACGTCTTCAATATACTTATCGGCGCTCGCGGGCAGCTGCTTCAATCGAACTACGAACCTAGGTCAGATCACTCTGGACACTCGATTCGCCGATGTTATATCTCTAACACGAGTACTCCTCTTCTCCACAAACTTACTGCGTACGCCGCATCGCGTTCGATGAATATCCCACCTAAGCTGGGACTGGACTGCAGTTCTAGTTGGTTCGGATAGTCCTAACCGCATTACTCTAACTCGAAGACAAGGGCGTCCTGACCCGACAAGCTAGCTTGGCAAGCTAACCGTCGGCGGAGGCTCTTCACGGTGAAACGGGCACAATGCCCGCATGAGCCGGGGTTGTCGATAGCCTCCTTGGCATGTTGCAGCCCGAGGCAGGGCGAGCAGACCTGGTGTGCGTCTGTGTCCGAAATCTTCAACCCGCAGAGCCGAGCGTCCGATTCCCTGGCTCCTCTGGTGTGAGGGAGAGACGTGTCCATCTTGTTCGCCATTATGGCGACGTGGGAAGGACGCGCTCGTAGCAGGTGCGTTGCTGAGAAAAGAGAATCACAACCTGTCGTTAATCCGGAGAAAACGCGACGGTGTAGATTTTATTCTCAAAGAATATTAACTGGTGTGTTAATACCTTTTTTATCTTCTACTCCTCTGGTGTGAGAGAGAAAAAGAAAAAACGTCCTCGCTACCGTGGTGTCGGTAGTGAGGGAAGACAAAATCAAAACCTTACCTTTATTTCCAAAGAAAAAACGGCGAGGTCGATTTGCAATACTAACTGGTGTGTTAGTATTAACAGTCTTCTTGCAGAAGTATATGTAGAAGTAGCCGGCGAGCGCCCGTCGACCGAAGTTAGCTTGGATAGCTTGGTTCCGTCTGTGGACTGTGTGAGCTAGCCCGGCTACCAATATAGAGATGTGCTCTGAAGCGAGAAGAGGTGTTTGAATGACGCATGCGGCGTAGCACAAGCTACTTATAGGGGGTGGATTCCCTGACGCTGACGTCAAGATCACCAGCCAATCAGGATTGGCGTAATGAGATTGATGCTTCTGTTTGCTCCGCAATGAAGCGCATCCCATAGTGAGACATCGAACGGAGTGTTACGAATGAGAACTACAATTCATCAATCATGTTCTCCTCTCAATCACGACTGAACATTTTAACCCCTCTTTTTGTAGGACAGACATTTATAAAATAACCCTTCCAACACTAAATGATTGCTTCTATTAGCTGATTTAAGATTAAAATGTTATCTTGTTAATGTTTTAGAAAACATATCCATCAACCGTTTTCGTTGTGAATAAGAAACAGTTCCACTTGAATCCCCCACACCAAACATTTATTATATTGTGACAAGCCAAAGAGGGTTGCACTTTGTTTTTACTCCTACTTTAATCCATCAACACGTTTTCTTTAGTTTGTACAATTATTTATGGTTGTGTATACAATCTGCATTCATGCCTGGATTAATATGGCGTAACAGCAGCAAACTCTGTGTATGGTATGTATCACCTTTGAACCTAAATACTAAACAAACTCATGTGATATTCAAGCCCACTGTGACCTTGACCTCCCCTTGACATTTTTACTATCTGCTGCTGTTATAGCCATCTGGTTCCATTAGCTGGACATTTTAAATCTTTTCAGGACATTGACAACTCTTACATAAATTACTCAAACGGGGCTTCTCGCTATATTTATACTTTTTGTTTTTTCCAGCATTCTCCACATTCCACTATCCTAGTCTGAGCACCTCACAAGTGACATCCCTCCGCATCTCCAGCAAGGGTGGAGGAGAAATAAGCAGAAAACAGTATGGAGTGCTCTGAGAGGATGATAAGAAGCAGAGATATCTATTGTACGGTAAAATGTGAAATATTGTGCAATCACTTCCCTTAAGTATTGTGCAACGTTAAAGTTCTGCACTTCCCTTGATACAGCGCACATTTTTTTTTTTTAAACAGAATTGTTATGACGTCGGCATGACCGGCGGAAGTTACACTTTGAAACCTTAGAAAACTATGAGGGCGCTCTAGGACACAGGTTTGCAATGTACATTTTGAGGATGGAAGGGCAATAAGCGGCGTCAGGGGGCCCCCTAAGCACCCCCAAGAAATGTATGTATTTTTTATTTTTATGCGTGAAATTCATAATTTGAAAAATGATTGAATCGAAAATAATATGCTACAGTACAGTACACGTACATCTGGGTCTCTGTGTTTCATTCAAGCTCGGCTCTGTGTGTGTGTGGAACGAGCCATTTTGTGTGTGCGTGCGCGAGAGAGCGAGAGAGCGAGAGAGCGAGCACCGGTCCTGGAGATTGTTGTTGTTAGCATCTGGTGCTAGCTACGCTAACGAATATAAGAAGCTTTTTCAACAACAAGATGGAGGGAGAACTCTCGCCTGTCAGACTGAGAGTACGATACGATACGATAATACTTTATTTGTCAGATCAAGTCTGAAATTTGACTTGCGTCACAGCAGCTCCATGTCCAACATCAACAGACAAGTATCCAGACACAATACATGAAACACAAACAACAAACATTTAACGTAACAGCACAATCAGTGAGAGAAAACATGCTCAAGAGCCTTCAGCGTGCATTTGATCTGGGATTTAGCTCTGTATTTACTGTGAGGATTGACTGATGCACAAAGGAGTGCTTCATTCTGACTTTATTGAATCGTGGGACCCTGTATCTCCGATTAGAAGGGTAGCAGTCATCATTCTTCAGATACTCAGCTCGGTGAGGTAAAGGACTCTCTCCAGTTGTTTAAATTAGCCGACTGAGATTAGTTATCTCAGTGGTTCGTCTCAATTTAATATTATATATATTGATTAATATAAACAATTATTTTATTAATTAAATATAAACAATTATTTCTGGAGGCCCACACGTTTATGATCGATCATTTTATAGTTATAAAAAAAATAAGAGAATAAATGAAAAAACAGTTATGACAATACTATGCAGTAAAACAGAATGGTTTAAAAAGGGGGAGTGATTTGTAAAATCTGTTTTATGAGTTCTGTTTTCTGTTGAGAGATGTATCCAAGATGCTCTTCATTTTGCCGCTCTCAAAGCTGCCACCAGATTGATGTTTTAACTTCAATATTTAAAAATATTCCCGGGGAGCATGCCCCGGACCCCCCTAGAGGATGTTTACGCGTCCACTCCCCACTTATAAAAATAGTACTTGACCCCTGCGCTTACACCGTATATGCCGTGAGCTGATTATCGAGCCTTAATCGTAATAGTCGCAGGTACACTGTGTGTGCGCTGTGGTAGGTTGCAGTAGAAGTTTCCACCTCTGCGCCCGGTAATTGATGGGAATGGTTTGGTGACCCTCTATGAAACGTCAAGCTACCCCTCAGCACCCCCAAAAGAAAATCTCTGGCGCCGCCACTGAGCCTACAACCCCGTTTTTGAAGAAATGTGCAGTGCAAAATCAGCTCATTGCAGCCACCCTGCGGATATAGACACACTTTTTGTCCAATATCATTATTTTCATTTTGTTTGCCACAGATTGCAAAGTGGCCAAAGTATGTATGGTACTTATTGTGTCTAGCGAAGGGATGCACAATAAGTTATAATACTTTGCACCACTTTGCAATCTGGTTGCAAAAAATTAAAATAATGGGATATTGGCAAAAGAAGTGTGTCTGGTATCCCAGGTGGCTGCAATGGCCCTGTTTGCACTGCACATTTCTTCAAAACGGGTTGTAGGCTCGTGGCGGGCGCCGAGATGATGTTTCTTGGTGCTGGGTAGGGGTAGCTGCGTTTCAATAGAGGTACTGCAAACGGGATTCCCATCAACTGTAGCCGGGCGCTAGAGTGCGAGAACTTTCTTACTGCAACACTCCCTCACACGCAGCACACAGTGTACCTGCGTACTATTTACGATTAAGCGCTTCGATAATCAGCTTCACGGCATATAGGTAAGCCAGGTCAAGTGACTATTTGTATAAGTGGGAGTGCGATCCTAAACATCCTCTAGGGGGGGCTCCGGGGGCATGCTCCCCCGGGAATTTTTAAATATTGAAGGTTAAAAGCATCAATCTGGGCACTTGAGAGCCAAAATGAAGAGATCTATGGCATACATCTCGTCAACAGAAAACAGAACTCCTAAACAGATGTTACAAATCACGTCCCCTTTGTGAAACTCATTCTTGCTTTTGGACTGTCATAGTATTTTCATAACTGTTTTTCATTTATTCTCTATTTTTTTGTATAACTATAATGATTCCATTATAAACGTGTGCTCAGAAATAAATTGTGTTTGATAGTTAATTAGTAAAGTAATTGTTTATATTATCAGTGATATATATATGTGAATTAGAGAACCACTTGAGAATAACTAATCTCAGTCGTAATTGTAAACAGACTGAGAGAGTCCTTTACCTCACCTTAGCTGAGGTTATCTGAAGAATATGAACTGCTACCTTTCTAATCGGAGATAATCCAGGTCCCACGATTCAATAGAAGTCAGAATGAAGCGACTCCTTGTGTCATCAGTCAATCCTCAGTAAATACAGAGCTAATTCCCAGATCAAATGCACGCTGAGGCCTCTGAGCATGTTTCTTCACTGATTGCTGCTGTTACGTTAAAATGTTTGTTGCTTATGTGCTTCAGGTGTGTATTGTGTCTGGATACTTGCTGTTTGGATGTTGACATGAGCTGTGCTGTGACGCAGTCAAATTTATGACTTATCTGACAAATAAAGTATTATCGTATCGTTTCTACTCTCAGTCTGACAGGCGAGAGTTCTCGCCTCCATCTTGTTGCTGAAAAGCTTCGTTATATTTCGTTAGCGTAGCTGAGCAGCCAGATGCTAACAAACAACAATCTCGCAGGACCGGTGCTCGCTCTCACGCTCTCTCGCTCTCTCGCGGCACGCAGCACAGCAAGAAATGGCTCGTCCACACACAGCACAGAGCCGATGCTTGAATGAAACACAGAGACGCCAGATGTAGCGTGTACGGTACTGGTAGCTATTATTTTCGATTCAATTATTTTTCAAATTTGAATTTCAGCGCCATAAAAATAAAAGAATCATACATTTGCGTTGGGGGGCTTAGGGGCGCCCTGACGCCGCTT